AAATTTTTACAGGGAAGGTGGCCATCTTTCTCCCAAGGAGCAGCTGATGGATTCAAGCCACCAGCACAACCTCACTCTCAGTTACCATGATACATAGTTCCTAAGATGTGTGTTCTGCCTTCTCGTTTGCTGAGTAGTATGTAGCGTCTTAAAAGCTTGTGAAATACAACTATATAGTTATACTCATTTCAAATAAAAGTGAAAGAAGGAAATCTAGGATTCAAAGAAGGAACTAGTGTACAGGATTCATTGCCTACACAAACTAGAACTAGCTGGGCCGTGCCTCCCATTTCTGAGAGTTCTAGTCAGAACCACAACTGATGGAGGCTAATAGGAAGGAAGAGAAATGTGGACAAGAACATAAAAATCTGAACAAGAAAAGAAATCCATACTTACTGGATTATTTGAGACAGGAAGAATCTTCGAAGCTATTGCCCTAGCTTACTTTTTAAACTGTGTAACTAAACTGTAACCACGGATCATCTTTAGAATTTAACCATTGCCACTAAACAATACGGGTAGAAATTGTTGAACGGAAACCTGTTTTGCTATGTACCTTTCACCGGAAATATAATTAATAAAACCAAATCACTCTAAGGAACACACACAGTCCTATGTGGTGGAGTTGCCTTTAATTGGGATCCACTCACTGGCAACTTGTTTAGGTTTGTTTAGTAAGACAAGGTTATTTAGTCAAGAACATCTGGGACCACCACAAAAAAGAAACCTCATCTGCAAAATACACCTTCCAGGTCTAACTCATCCTTAATTTTCATTACTCTTCATAAAGGATGTACTTCCTTATTCATTACAAATGTCAATACTTTTATATTTTTGGAGGTCAAGGTCAAACATTTTTCAAATCCTCTTTGCTCCTTATTTATATTATCTCCTTGATGTATTGGCTTCTGAAAGGAGCATGATAATATTTCTCATTGGGAATGAGAAAACTGTGCTCTCTTCACAAGGCTAGCTGTTTCTAGCATGTTTAAAGATTCTTACCACTGGGCCAATTGGCAGAATCAGGATGGATGGTGAAGAGATTGAGATTGTTCACAGCTTTAGTTTGCTTGGCTCCAGTCAACACTCTCGGCACCAGTAGCCAGGAAATTAAAAGACGTATTGCGATGGGAAAGTCTGCTGTTAGAGACCTCACCAAAGTATGGAACAGCACTGGTCTCTCTGGAGACTAAGGTTCGTCTGATACAGGCCATGGTCTTTGCAATCACTTGTTATGCATCAGAGAGTTGGACAATGACTAAGGAGGATAGAAGGAGAATTGATGCCTTTGAGCTGTGGTGCTGGAGAAGAGTATTGAGAATACCATGGACTGCTAGGAAAACAAAGAGATTCATCCTGTAAAGGGTCAAACCGGGCGGCTCCTTGAAGGCAAGGATTCCGAGGCTCCGTCTAACATACTTTGGACACGTTGTAAGGAGGGACCGGTCCTTGGAGAGGGACATCATGCTTGGGAGGGTGGAGGGACAGCGCAGGAGGGGAAGGCCGTCTATGAGGTGGATTGATTCAGTGACTGGGGTAATTGGGATGGGTGTGTCAGAAGCAGTGCGATTGGCACAGGACAGAGCAGAGTTTAGGGCTGTTGTACATAGGGTTGCTATGTACTCGCAAGCGACTCGACGGCACATAACAACAACAATAAGAGTTGCCATAGAGTTGACTTACTTTGTGCTGACTTCATGTATGTCTGAGTAGGACTATGTTCCATAGAGGTTTTTGGGGTATTTTTATTAATTTGACTGTGCTTGAGGTGAACATTTATACAGCATATTAGATTCCCTAATAGTTCGTAGACACATTGTTCCATGACATTGATTGCGGTCTCCGCAGTAGGCCAGCTCTCTCACCATTTCCACGCTTCCTGCCCTGTTTCCATCCATCCAGTTTCCCTGCCCTCCTTCCTTTCTCATCTTTGCTCTCGGGTAAATGTTGATCATTTGGTTTTGGATAGTTGATTGTTTAAAGGCGCACATTCCTCATGGGTGTTACTGTTTATTTTTTAGGCCAATCAACTATTTGGCTGAAAATTGACCTCCAAGAGTGACTTTTGGTCCCAATTAGTCCATAGGGCTTTCGTTGGCAGCTTTTTCAGTGGATTACCACTGAGGCTGCTCTGGATAGCCTGGAATCGCCAGCTTTCCAGTTAACAGCCAAGCGCAGTTACCGTTTATACCACCCAGGGACCACACTCCCCACTCCTTTGTTTAGAGAAGAAAAAACTCAGACGGCTTGATCAGCTTTGGAAGCCAGAAGTGATCAGGCAAACTTGCTGGGAGTTTTTGCCAAGCCAACATCAGAAAATTGGCACGTCTCGGTGGACCAGCTCTCTGGTATATACGACCTTTCATCCTTGCTCTGGAGCAACCTGGGTTTGTCGCCACATCAAATCTCTCTCCAGCTTAGATGCCCAGTTCTCCTATGATTGTGGTGGTGGTTGTTAGACGCCATCAAGTTGGTTCCAACTCATAGCTACTCCATGCAAAATAGAAAGAAATCGTGCCCAATCCTGGTCTAGTCTCACAGTCTCTGTTGTGCCCATTGTTGTAGCTACAGGATCAGTCCATCTCATTGAGGATCTTGCTTTTTCCTACTGGTCCTCTACCAAGCTTGAGGTCATTCTCCAAGGCTTGACTCCTCCAGATAGAATGGGGGACAAAGTCTCACTATCCTCCCTGCTTTGGAATAGAGCAGCTTCATTTCTTCAAAGATAGATTTATTCGTTCTTTTGACAGTCCATGGTATATCCAGTACTCTCTGCCAGGACCACAATTGAAAGACATCAATTCTCCTTTGATCTTCCTTATTATCCATTGCTCAACTTCATATGCATGTGAGGCAATTAAAAATACCGTGGTTTGTTTGGTTCAGGAACACCTTAGGCCTCAAAATGATATCATTGCTCATTAGCATGTTAAAGAGGTTCTTCATGGGAGACTTGCCCAATAAATGGGAAAAAGATTGACTTCAAAGTTTTCATTTTGCTTAGATCCACAATCAATGCCCAGTTAATTCAAAGTCTCAGCAAATGTCAGTTTAGGATCGATAAGGAGCTGGTACTGGAGATGACAGTTGGGTTCAGGTCACCACGTTGCCAGCTCTCCACTGATGGGTTTTGCCAGGCAACTGGCAAGCTTTCTGCTGGCATTTTCATACCACTAATCTAATCAACATCTTTCCTTTCTCCTCATCCCCACCCCATATTTTGTCTTCTCTTTTTTCATAATAAGGAAATGTTTATGAAAACCACCCTTACTAGAGGAAACTCTTCTACACATTTTAGCCCATGTATTTTTGTTTTTCTAGTCTCACTCACATGCCTGCCCTCTGTTGTAAGGAGGATTTTATTGCCTGTGTAAAACAGACTGTCTTGCTAATAAAAACTCTTTCTAAACTAGGAAGTAAAAGAGTTCTGGTGGTGTGAATACAGTGGGTTTCTAAGCATTTTTCATGTTTCCTTCCATGATGTTGCAGGATAAATTTCTGGCTCCAAGTTAAAATAATTCTTCCACACTAATGGGAAACTTAGTATGACTTAGTCAGTGAAGTGTTGGATATAAAGTGCACTTTTCACATGCAAAATTGTGATGCATTTTATACTAGCTGTGACTTAAGGTTAATTTTGCTTGAGGAGCCAGGTAAAGGTGCAAGAGGAGGAGATCCTACTTTAGAAATATAACTGCGGGCTTGTACTGTGCAAATTTGCTTGCTCTCTCTCTCACACACACACCCTCTAACTTTAAAGCTGTCTGTTAGAAGAATGAGATGTAGTTGCTAGCCAGACCTTGTTGGTTTGGACTGAAATTCTTACAGAATTATTAAGCCTTAAAAAAAGCAAAGGAGATTTATGCATCTGCAGTTGACCAATTTGGTTTGGAATAGGTTCATAATGGAAAAGTAATAAAACCGTAAGAGACAGTGTCTTCCGAGCACAGTCTCGCTTTTAAAACATCTAAACATGGGCTGCCCCATTTTGGATTAAAAGACTGTAGAAAAAAAATTCCCCCTGGTAATTTTTGGGAGGATTTTCTTCTCGTTGTAGTTTCTTTTTCATTGATTATTAACCAGTATAAACTTGAAGCCTTCCATCAGGTAATTTTCTGGGGATGTCAAACTTAGGGAAAAAGAATCCTAAAGTGTTACCTGTGGAAGCCTGCCTTCTCTCCTCATTTCCTGCACCACACACCGTATACACTCAGTATTTCTTAATCTATCAGTAAAGTCCTCTTTTAGGGGTGGAACTGGAGTACTCAGGACTGGCTTTTGGATTTTCTGTTGTTGTTTTGTTTTTCCAATTTGGTGAGTGAGTGTTGAATGTGAGAGAAGGTTCTTACTGTGAGTGCCAGTGGAGCCGCATGAAGAGGAAACACATACCAAACATCACCTCTGAAATACAGGGCCCAATAACTTTGTGAGTTTCTGATTTCAACAGGAAAGTAGGGGGGCGAGGGAAGGGAATACTTCTCCATTTCCTCTCATCTACTTGCAGTAGTGTTTTTATTATTAGGTGCCATTGAGTTGATTCTGACGCACCGTGGCCTCATGTGACAGAATCGAACAGCCTCATAGGCCTGTAATCTTTACAAGAGAAGCCCACCAAAGCGTTCTCTCTGGGAGCTGCTGGGCAGGTTCGTGCCACCAGCACAGCATAAAAGTTCCTTAGGCATTAACGATATTGCTGAATAATTTCTTAAAACTCATGAAGGGTATAAGCATAACAAATGAAGGTTGAGTGAGTGGGGAAAAGGTTGGTGAGAAGTGAGAGAGAGAGAGAGAGTGTGTGTGTGTGTGTGTGTGTGTGTGTGTCTACATTTGCCACTGCATGCTAGATATCCATGGCTGTGCACCCCATATAGGATAGTGAAATAGCCATTTTATTTCATTTGATTCTTAACTTTCTTTTCACGAGCAGCAGTTCAAAGCACAGTTATTTTTATATAGTGGGAATGTGACCAGACTGAGATGGCACTGTGTCTCTCCTGCAGGTATGCCTGCGGCATCTTTAGTGACCCCTGCTGATGTTATCAAGACGAGATTACAGGTGGCTGCCCGGGCCGGCCAAACCACTTACAGCGGAGTTATAGACTGCTTTCGAAAGATATTGCGGGAGGAAGGCCCAAAAGCTCTGTGGAAAGGAGCTGGTGGTATGGAAATAATTTGTTCGTAACTAACCATTTGGCATCAGATAAAGTTTTTAGAAATCTAATTATATTTGTTATTTCCCCTTCCCCCCCTCCCAAAAAAAAGCTCGTGTATTTCGATCCTCGCCCCAGTTTGGTGTAACTTTGCTGACTTACGAATTGCTACAGCGATGGTTCTACATTGATTTTGGAGGAGTGTAAGTATCCTAAATCCAAATATCTGCTGCTTCTGATCCTCTGATACCATCAGGGAAAGAGTCGTTAAGCCAGTGTCACTATGGTAAAAAAGAAAATATTTGTGGAAGTATTAGAATTATGTTAGCAAACTCATTTTTTAAGAAGTATTAAAGTTGAACAATGTCTTCATTTTGTTTAACATTGTTTTGAATGGTTTGTTTCTGCTAAGTTGAAAATAAGACTAAAAGAATGCAAAAACAAAAGTGAAATTCTCACTCTGTTTTCTCTTCGTTTAGAAAACCCGTGGGATCAGAGCCAGTTCCAAAATCCAGGATCACACTGCCAGCTCCCAATCCAGATCACGTTGGGGGCTACAAATTGGCAGTTGCAACTTTTGCAGGGATCGAAAACAAATTTGGACTTTATCTCCCTCTCTTCAAACCATCAGCATCTACCTCACAAGTTATCAGCGGAGGTCCGTAGTAAGACTACAGCCAGGATATTGCATTGTTACAACAGAAGAGAGCACCTCACTTCAGAATGAAGCCACTTTGTGTTCCTTTCACGTCCATCTCTCATTTAAATTGCTGTTGGGGCTTTGTAATGTGAAATTGTTCCATTTCTGTGCATTTTCGTAATCAGATCATTTTGAAATTCTG